GATGTACTTGTGGAAAGAAACTGGCAGAACACACTTTGTTTCTGTGTTATGTGTTTAATGCTCTGCTTGTGTCCCTGAGCATTATGCTCAACAGTGTCAGACATGCATCTGTTCTGGGGCATGGATTGCAGCAAGAGATTGGGAGACTGTTGCACTTGTTAGCACTGGTAACCTCTTGTTTTGGTGCAGTTGTGCTGCAAAGCTGCATCCTTCTCTATTTTTTGTCTTAATCTCTTAGTGTAGGATACAATGGAAAACACTGTGGAGGTATCTACTCATCCATTGATTATAAAGCTGAATGCAGTTCAGCCACCTCTGTTTGAGGTAGCAAAAAACATATGGCATGAACTTTCCCACCATTTCCTAGAGACCCACCATCATGTGTTACTCCTCTTCATGCCTCTGTGGTCTTACCAGTGCCTCTCCAGCTGCCTCATTGATTCTCAGGCCCTGGGACAGGCAGTGCAGGCTGCTGTTTCTATACATCAACCAGTTTGGTACTGTCCTGCTCTCCTCAGAAGATAAATATTTGAGCAATAAATAATAGACAGGTTGGAGGAATTTTGTGGAATGAATCCATAAAGTCAGATGGGAAAAAGCTCTAAATGCTGAGGCAAAGATCATGCCAAGGAAGTAAGAGAAGAAAAGGAAATACATCCTTTCAGCTGAGGAAAGAAATAGCTCCCTTCCATCCCCTTGGAACAGCCTAAGATAATAAGGCTGCTGCCTTTCTGATTAGTGCTCTGTGGCCCCAGCTCAGGCAGGGAAAATCTGCATTTCAAATGGCATATTTTAAAGTACACAATACCCAGGGGCCCTGCTGCTATTGATTTGCCTCTGGTGGGGTCACTGCCTCACTTTCTACAGCTTTATTAACTGGGATCATACACTGGGCCTCTTTCAAAGTGAAAAAAGAGTGGATGGGACATTTGTCTTTGGGGGGAGCCGGGGATGGAGAGGGGTGACTTTTGTTTGAGCTCACTTGGGATTGCCTTGGTGGTTTTATGAGAAAGACCAATGACCCTCACAGGACTTGAGGTCTTTGTCATCAGCTTCTTTCAAGGTGAGAGAGTTTCCATCCTCCAGCCTCCACAGTACTGCTGCACTTGGCACTATAACCACCAGAAGATGATCTGGAAAGGTCCCATTGTCCTTCCCCTTTGGTGCTTTTATCTATGAGTAACTTAATCTAATAGGGAAGGAATGCTTCTTCAATGCACAAATGGGAAACATGAAAGCAGAAAGGTGGCAGGAGCGTCACAAAGGGCTGTGATGTCTGTAAATACAGTTAATATTGGTGTCCTCTCTCAAGCCACTTAGCCAGGGTTAGTGCCTGTGTTCAGATTTGGGATGCTATACTCCTTCCAGCATTGGAGGATATCCAGATGTACCCCATGAGGTGGCTATGAAAGCTGTCGTGATGTGTGTGTCCTCTGGGTCATGAGGTACAGGTCCTCAGCTCAATTGTTCACTATGCTAAGGGGATTTCCAGGTCTCCAGGACAGCTCAGGTATCCCCAGAGCACTGAGCATTGAAGAAATGGGTGGCTTCTCCTTGCAGGATGCCTGCTATCCCAGAAGCAACTGAACCTAGTTTCCCAAAACACAGTTAAGAGCCTTAATTACTACCTTATTTTTTTCTGCATTAGCTTTTTGACTCTAAGCTAAAATTAACCTATTTGCTCCTCCAACTCCTGAGTTTCTATGGGATTATGACCAGTTTTATCTGAATGCTTTTCTGAAACACACCAGGCTTTAAGCTATAGTCCTTGCACAGTAGTAAGAAGCAGTAATAAGAACGTTAGGAATATCCCACACAAAGAGAGAAAATACCTTTCTGAAGATCTATAACAGAATGCCATGCATGCATGGCATTATACTGCACCAAATAGCATGCATGTATCAATGTATAGTCTCCCAAAATGCATCTTCCTGTGCAAACTTTAAGCCCTCTGAATAGACTAGAAGTCAAACACCATTGGCAAACCAGGAGGAGCACCTGCCATTGTAGAGTTAATGATGAACATCCTATTGACATCCATAAGCAGGAATAGAAGTTGCACAAGCCATAAATAATGTCATAAGTGATTGTTTAGCTCTGCTGAGTGCAAAATGGAGATTGTCTTTGAAGCAGCACAATCGTTTGTACTACCATTGGTAACAAAATGTCACATAGGTACAACCTTGGGTCTCTTGCAGCATAGGTGAAACACAAACAAAAAGAGATTAATACTTTTATTTTAAATGGTTGGAAAGTGCCATCCAAAAATATTTGCTGAGGGTCAAGCAAAGGGTAGGAGTGATTTCACCTGGCTGTGTCACTATGTGCAGCAGAACAGATCACCTAAGGCTCTGCATGCAGTTAGTGGGGAGAAACAAAGCTGAAATTCATCTACCCAGAGGCAACTGGGTACAGAAGGGAGAGACAAATCTTGGCCTAAACTCTTTGGCTGTTATCACATCAACAGCAATAGGTGACCAGCTCAGAGGAAATGCCGTCTGTATTTAGGTTACTGAATCTGACAGAGGGAAATGCCAAAATTATAGTCTCCTTGTCTGCCTAGAAGCCCTAAGGAAAGTCTCTGGTTCAAATACCAGGCTGTTATCTGTCAGCCAGACTGACCATGGCACACATATGTAGGTAACTCCATGTTTTTTGTGTGCAGATTTGGAGGAACACAGAAAAAAGTTAGCAAAGGCCAGACTGTGGCTGAATCAAGCACTTGCAACTGTATCCATCTCAGAGAGATGCTGCTTTGGTCAGCAGTGCTAAATAGATGGTACAGGCACAGATCTTGGCCATCATTTCTGCAACCAGATAGTGGCATCCTCAGCTGTCCCCAGGTAAAATACCAGCACAGAAAATGAAATATGGGTCAGTACACCCAGTGCTGGAGTCAGTCCAATGTTAAAGATGGATGGATTTCCCTTTCCTCATTCACTTTATTGGCATACTTAATAAAATCACCTGCTTGGTACCCCATCTGGAGAATAAACTCCAATGATGCCTAGAAACAAATGTACTCCTTAAAGAGGAATCAGCTTTGTGCTATAATAGAAAAGATTGTCTAATCACTCCATCAGTAATTACAAAGAACAGGATATCACTAATTAAAATGTGAAAGTGTCTTATGCAGTGTACAATAAAAAAGGGTAATTAACAATCAAAGGGGAAGCCACCACCTTGGCACCAATCTGCATGAGGCTATGAAAAATAATAGTACTCAGCTCTAGTACAGCAATTTTCATCTGTAGATCTGAAGGCACCCCTACGTGAGGAGATAGATATCCTGTGCACCAGTATATAATAGCTGGAGAAATCAAGGCAACTATACACAATTTGTCCACAGTTATACAGCAGGTCAGTGGCAGAGCATCCTTTAATTTTGACTCTTTGCAGGCGGTGACAAGGAAATTTTCAGCAGTTGAATGACAGCGATGATTTAAGGGATTTCTTCCAGTGTGTATATGTATGAGCAGCTAATGCAGCTAATATTTCAATGTTAAACAGTAAGGAACAGATTTTGTTGTGACTTTGTCAGAGCTTTATCAGACTTCATGACTTTAAGATCTATTTAATGCTGAACAGTGTATCCTGTGTGCTTAAACAACAACATCAGAGAGTGATTTCTTGATAGAGAGTGAAATCACAGAGAGAGTAAAACTCATTCTGTAGACAGCAAAGACATGAGTCACTTCTATAATCATTTTGAAAAAAAAAATAGTTTCCTTCTCCATTATTATCATCAAATCACGTGTTAACAGTGGCTGGGGAATGAACAAAATGAGGTTTCAGACTCTGCTCATCCTCTTTCCTCACACTTTCTCTAAGCCTCCACCATCAGTCTTTACTGGGGAGTGGATGCTGTCTCACAGAACCTCAGATGTGCCTTGCCTGGCTCGTTCTGCAGCTCCAGGGAAGGAGACAAGAGGAAGATTCATCTAATTTTCTTCTCTTCATCTCATGAGCTAACGCACTGCAGTCATACTGTATGCATGAACTGCACCATCTAAAAGCTAGGCTCCGATTGTAAAATAATGATGGAAAAGTCTGGTTTTAATGCAGGAAGCATTTCTAGCATACTTAGCCATTCACCACCTTTCTGCTCCAAAACTCTTACTGCAAAATGCCTGAAAATATAACTTGTATTTCTCATTTCTGCCTTTTTTAAGAGCCTTAGAAGAGGCAATGTTTTAATTACTTTCTGGGAATTAAAAAAAAAAGGAACTTAAAACTAAGGAAATCATCCCAGATCAGAACTACCATGCAGGGATTTTCCCACTGCACTTTATTAATCTTGCTAAAGCAGGGGAACTCCCTTCTCTCGCATAGCTCTTCAGGGAGTATCTCTGCTTGGTTGTGTTGGAAATAGGTGCTGTAATTGGGTTAACATGGACTCTGGTTTTTGGTCATGGTTTAGCTTAGTGCCCACTGGAGACCTCACAGCAGCATGGAAAAAAAAAAAAAAAAAAAAGCAATTTTTCTCACCAACAGATAAAAATAGATCAATTTATCCCCAGAGAACTAGTTAAGCTTGCCGCTCTGGAGATACTGGGGATCCTCATTTCTAACTGCTCTACATACAGCGGTCTCCCATCAGCAGCCATCAGTGCCTTCCCAGAGCTTTGATACAAGCAACATAGGCCATGAAATCTCTCTGCTTGGGAACACTTAAAGTATTCTCTCTGCTGTTCCCAGCAAGGAAAGAACTCAGACGTTGAGTACAGTTCACAGGAGACCTCCACACTGGGGAACAATGCTAGAAATGTGGGAACCATAAAGACACATCAATGCTCTGAGACACATTTGACGCAATTTGCTTCTCACTCTTGTAGTGGGAAAGAAGTGCCAAGGGTGGGGGCTACCACAGGTGCACCAAACTAGCATCTCAAAGTGGAGATGCCTCACGCTCTTGCACATGGTTTCCTTCCTGGTGCTGGTGACCCAGGCTGCTCTGCTGGTGACTGCGTGATATTTTTTCCCTGCTCTCTTTGTTCCAGCTGATGCAGCAGCAAGCCGCGATCATGGCTTCGGTGGCGCAGGGCGGCTACCTGAACCCCATGGCAGCCTTTGCTGCAGCCCAGATGCAGCAGATGGCGGCTCTGAACATGAATGGCCTGGCAGCTGCCCCCATGACTCCAACCTCAGGTAAGGGGCCTGGATGGATGGAAGGGGTGGCAGGAGGGGCAGGAGACCTCGAAGGACGTGTTAACTGTCAGCTTGTTTCTCTGTAAGTGTTTTCTGAAATGCTGGTCTTGCTGGAAGAGGCTACCACAGGGAAGGAGGAGAGGTCAGACCAGATCATTTTGAGGGGCTGGAACAGGAGTCCTCTGCTAGGGGCAGGAGCAGCTGGGAGTCAGTATCTGGGTCACAAAAAAAGGTGCAGCAGCAGAGCCAAACGGATCACCAACAGTGGGCTGTTGGGCTACTAGTGCTCCATGCTGAGCAACAGCTGAATGCTGCAAATGAGACACACCAGAGAGGGGATATGATGGATTTTGCTTTTTTGTTGGAAGGAGGGAATTGTAAGGCACTGGAAGAAGCTCTCAACCATGACCTTCAGCATCATCCTCTACACAGCTTTTCCTTAGCACAGTGGAATAATGACGCAAATGCACTGGAATAGGCTCCCCAGGGAGGTGGTTGAGTCACCATCCCTGGATGTGTTTAAAAACCGTTGTGATGTGGTGCTCAGGGACATGATTTAGTTGAGGGTTGTTAGAGTTAGGGTTAGGTTGTGGTTGGTCTCAATGATCTTTAAGGTCTTTTCCAACCTGATAAACTCTATGAAAATATCCCACAGTGACCAGTAGTTGCTTACTGGTAGTATGTATAGATGTATAAGGGATAAGTGCTCATGCTGTCGTAGCCAGGCTGGTCCAGACACAAACAGAATCATACTTGTAGGGAGATGCAATGCAATTAATAAGATGAGCTGTATTTTGGGGATGCATAAGCCTTTTCCTTCTGTGAAGTAGGGCTGCTGGTACTCAGGGAAATCTGATGCTACCTGGAATGCAAGTATTTGGTGAGAAAATTTTTTTGTAGCTCAAGTAGAGACAGGTAGTTGGTGAAGGACCCAGGCCCACAGCTGGCTGGGCTGTAGCAGGACATGAGAAGACAGCGCTGGGGGCCAGAGAATTAAGCTGAGGTGTAAACAGAACTGGCTTTCCTGAAGAACAAGGAAATCATTTGGACAGGAGCAGGTCAAGGAAGTGGCAGGACAGGTAAATTATTTAGTGATTGCTGGCCTAACTGAAGGACAGCAGGGTAGCTGGGAAAAATGGGGCCAAACTTTAAAAGAAGTGAGAATGTGGAGGGGTTTGCAATATACTGCTGACTCTGTTAGGGGAGCAGAAGATACAGGGGTCTAACAGTGAAGAAGAATAATTTCTAGGGAACAGTTTAGGATAGAAGTGTTTCAGAGACAATGCCAGTTGTTCCTATGAGAGGTGCTGGAGATGGGACTGAGTTCAGTGAAGAGACATTGCAATGCCAACACATGAACCTGACGCACTGAGCTAACCTAAAGAGGACCAGCTTGACAACAGTTTTGAGTGATTGAGATGTGGCAGGGGTGAGCACAAGCCAGCCACGGTGCAGCTGGTGCTGGGAAAGAAGGATCTGGTTCCCCTTGCAGAGCAGATTGGTAAGAGAGCAGCCTCACTGCTAAGCACAGAGAAATCCACACTGTTAGCAAAAGACCAACTGACACTGCAGCCAGGAAGGACACTGGATGGCAAGGAGACAAGGTGCCACAGTAGTGCAGGCTTAAGGGCTGTTCCTAATGAATCTGGTTCTGCTAACCTCTGTCTGTCAAAAAAAACTCCATTTCTCTATTAACATACAGTTTATCATCTCTTTACAGTCTCTAGCTGGATCAATGTCAGCAGCTACAGGGTCAGATATTTATTTTCTCCTTTGCTGCTATTGGAATATAAGGTGCAAGGGGAGAAAGGGGAGGAAGAGAGATCTATTTCCACAGCAGTTTATGGAGAGCCAAGGAAAAGTGCTTAACTCAAAAATCTTACACCATACATTTTGAAATATATGTTTACATAGCGATAAATGTATAAACAGTGAGTCGATGAAGCTACTGCAAATCCAAATAGAAAAGTGGCTTAATTATATGTGCACCCTTTAAACCCGCTGCTGGAAAGATTATCATATTTGCATTAGCTAGATTTGTTTTGTGTTGGTGGGAGCATAGAGAACGTCAAACAAAGAATGCTTGGAATTCAAATGCTCTCAGGGCTTGGAAAGCCGAATCCAGGCAGTGGTTTGTGATGTCTCCACCACAAATAAGCACAGTCACTTTTGCATATAAATGTCTTGAAAATAAGCCATTCTGTGACATAGGTGTGTAAATATTATCATGATGGCCAAATTCTGTGCCTGCCACAACATCCAGCAGATGAAAAATATCCCAGCTCTTCTTTCGTGTAAGCTCTTTTCTGATGTGCCCACTACCTTTTGGGAACTATTGTCAGAATACAGAAGAAGAAAGAGAGCTCATGTTTTTTACATGCTTTTCAGAGAACCTATGACTGGTCATTATTGAAAATAAGGCTCCAGTTTAGATGATCCTTTGATCTCTTTCATGGTGGCATATTTTGCACTCTTCTCATGACATATTTTCAATCCTGGAGCCTATGCACTCTGGCATTATTGCAGATTTACCTTGAATGTGTAGCTTCCTTCACGAAAAACCTCTGTAATGGGTTGTGGAAATGTCCATTGACAATTATTCCTTGGGTGAAATGTTTAGACTTTGAAATGACTCCTTGTATTACCACAACACTTACAAAGCTTGTGATAAGATGCATAGAAAATGTTTCACATATGTCTGAGCAAGCAAGTCTACAACACTCGCAGCAATTTCTGAGTAGCCAGGAGATATCTGAAGCCTAAAGTGAATTCTCCTGCTGGCTTTTGTTAGCATTCAGAAAGCCAAATGGAAAATGATCATTCTGCTTCATAGCAGGATTTCCAGTCATTGAAGTATATCTTTGTTCTGACTTGGAATGAAAATGAAACATTTCAAAGTTCTCTGAAAAACAGGCATTAGAAAAAGTGTTTGGAATGTTGTGAAAAAAAAAAAGAAAAAGACAGAGAGAGAGAAAAAAAAAAAAGAAGTGTTTTGATCTTTCCTAAGCAAAAGAAAAATTGTGCTAGAAAAAAGACATTGCTAACACAGAAGTCCTAAAGGCATCGGAGGTGCTGGCTGAGCACAGCGCCTCTGAGTTTCTATCTTCAGGCCCCTCATGTTCTGAGACCATAACCTGTTTCTGATGCATTCCTAATCCAGCCTCCAGGACAGTGGGTTCCTCAGAACGTGGTCATGAGTTCATTCATGTTCACGAGTTCCCATGGGACCCAGGAACTTAATGAGCCTTGGATCCAGGCAGATCAAACAGGCAAGAGACAGGATGCAACTCACCAGACTTTAACTGTACAAAAGTTATGCATCTAGTGTAGTTATCTTATTTGCCTGCAGTCAATGATGAGCAGTAGGCAGTCACAGTGGGCAATTCAGCATGGTAACTTTATGCTGTCTGCCTGTATTTTGATGGTTCCCTATTATCTTCATCTCACAAAACACTCTGCAACTGCAAGGATATTAATTTCATGTCTCTGGAAGTTTGGTGTATATTTGTAGTTTATGTGATGGAACAGCTTGTGCTGGATGCCATCTCCAGACAACTGGAAGAGAAGGAGGTTATCAGGAGCAGTCAGAATAGGTTCACCAGGGGGAGGTCATGCTTGACCAACCTGGTGGCCTTCTACAATGTTGTCACTGGCTGGGTAGATGGGGGGAGAGCAGTGGATGTAGTCTACCTTGATTTCAGCAAGGCATTTAGTACTGTCTCCCACAGCATCCTTATAACAAAGCTGAGGAAGTGTGGGATAGATGAGTGGACAGTGAGGTGGGTTGAGAACTGGCTGACTGGCAGAGCACAGAGGGTCGCTGTTGGCGGTGCAGAGTCTGGTTACAGACCTGTAACCAGCGGTGTTCCTCAGGGGTCTGTGCTGGGTCCGGTCTTGTTCAACATCTTCATCAGTGACCTTGATAAGGGGATAGTGGCCACCCACAGCAAGTTTGCTGATGATACGAAGTTGGGAGGATTGGCTGACACGCCTGAAGGCCGTGCTGCCATTCAGCAAGACCTGGACAGGCTGGAGAGCTGGGCAGAAAAAAAACAGATGAGGTTTAACAAAAGCAAGTGTAGAGTCTTGCATGTGGGGAGAAATAATTGCATGCACAAGTACAGGTTGGGGGATGATGTGCTGGAGAGGAGCTCTGCAGAGAGGGACCTGTGTGTCCTGGTGGATGACAGGTTGGCCATGAGCCAGCAGTGTGCCCTTGTGACCAAAAAGGCCAATGGCATCCTGGGGTGCATTAAAAAGAGCGTGGCCAGCAGGTCGAGGGAGGTGATCCTTCCCCTCTACTTCAGGCTTCATCTGGAGTAATGCGTCCAGCTCTGGGCTCCCCAGTACAAAAAAAGACAGGGATCTCTTGGAAAGAGTCCAGTGGAGGGCCACAAAGATGGTGAAGGGCCTGGAGCATCTCTGCTATGAAGAAAGGCTGAGTGAACTGGGTCTGTTCAGCCTTGAGAAAAGAAGAATGAGAGGGGTCCTGATCCAGGTCTATAAATACCCAAGGTGTGGGGGGCAGAATGGTGAGGCCAGACTCTTTTCAGTGGTGAATGGTGACAGGACAAGGGGAAACGGCCAGAAATGCAGCATAGGAAGTTCCGCACAAATGTGCGCAAGAACTTCTTTACGGTGAGGTGACGGAGCACTGGAACAGGCTGCCCAGGGAGGTGGTGGAGTCTCCTTCTCTGGAGATGTTCAAGACCTGCCTGGACACCTACCTGTGTGACCTACTGTAGGGAACCTGCTTTGGCAGGGGGTTGGACTCGATGATCTCTGGAGGTCCCTTCCAAACCCTATGATTCTGTGATTCTGTGATTCTGTGATTCCTTTTCTCCTGTCTTTGATATAATATGAGGAAAAGTTGGGTCTTCTGAGATGTTTCTGATGCTCTGCTTACTGCAAAGACAGGACTAGAAATGAAATTCCCTTTAGACTTTCTTTCTTCTTTTCTTCTTCCTCCTTCCATGCTGTAAATCTGCACCTGGTGTAGCTTCAGGAAGATATCTCAAACTGGGGATGAAATCCAAAACTGGCATGCACCACTGACATTTGTTTTCTGTAGTGGCATTATGCCAGTCTTACTGCAGCTACAGATCTGACCTCTCCAGGGGGCTCTTTATAAGAAGAAAATTAAAGAATTGCAATGAATATTCCTAAACTTCCTTACGCTTGCACAAAATAGCAAGCTCAAATCCCCTGCTGCAGTTTTAGAAAACATTACTTACATTGCCTATGCAAATAAAAGAGAGATCCAGAAAAGCAACTGAAATTTTAACTAGCCTTTGTGATTTGCAAGCTGATGGCATATGCTGAGAGCATTGCCTTTGGACTCAGGTTGCCACCACTGGCTCCCAGCACCACCACTGAGGCCAACACCATTTAAATAAGGAAAGAGGAAGGAGCAGGTTGTCTGCTCAGGGTGTAAGAAAAGAGACAAAGTATTGCATGCTTCTTGGGCTGCTGAAATCAGAACATACAGAAGCAGCTCATTAATCTGTATGAGTTCTCTTAAAGTACCAGCACAGATTTAAGCAGTCATTAAAGTGTGTTATTGGACTAACCCATCATGGAGTGCTGTGATTGTGAAGAAAATTTCTGCAATTGGTTTAAAAAAGGAATTCCTGCAATCAGTAGTACATCCTGACACAGGAAGATATTACTGAAGATAAGAGAGTTTAACTTCGCACCCCAGACAGCAAGAGAAAAATACAATTTCATACGTATTGAAAACTCATTTTTATTCTCTGGAAACATCCTGAATACATTTCAAGTAGCACAGACTGTCCAGTCCTTTCAAATACACATAGGAGAAAACAGTAAGGTAGCAGAGGGATTTAATTCCCCCCACAAAATTTTAAGATTTCTTCATCAGTGGGTGACAGGATCCCACCCAAAACATAATGATTAAATTGTTCCTCTGCAATAGCATTATAGCCCCCACAGGATGAGTCTGGAAAGAAATGGAGGAACACAGTTCCATGGAGGAAAACTGTAGCTTAATTTTTGCCCCTTTTCTGTCAGAGATCCCTGCTGACACTACAAATTCAGGCGGGGCCAAAACAGCAACACTAAAAATGTATTGCTATCTGTATGTAGGCTACAAATCAACTTGCCAAATATTTTAAGTATCCCTGATGCTGGAGTTCAAAATTAGTTTGAACACTACGTGTGTATTCATGAGAGAGTGCAGAAAGAGTGGCCCTGAAAATCACTACGCCCACAAAGCTGACATCTCCAAAGAGAAACTGTAGAAAAGTGGGACTGTGAATTTGCTTTTGGTGCTAAATGATATCTAGGAAAGAAATGTCTGCTTATTAAGTCATCAAACATGTAGTACTCTAGGGAAAGAACTCAGGAGGAATGGCAGTATTTCTGCTGTCTTGTACTGCATGATGTTAGCTGTGGATCTAGTCTTAGAGATCAGGATCACCAAACAAATTTTGTCTGTTGAAAAAAGCTTTCCAAACCTTTCTTATGTTAAATGCTTTCCAAACAAAAAAGCAATGGTAAGTTTAGCCTGCAATCATGTGAGTGGTTGCTTTCTTCATGAGAAAGCTTGGAAGATTTTTCTTTTCTTGAAATATCATAAGGTTTGAAATATCATAAGGATCATAGTTGTTTGCATCAGGAGCTTTCTCTACATGGTTATTGCTTCCAGTACTCATCAGCTTTGATTTTGTGTTCTTCCCTCCTTGCAGGTGGAAGCACGCCTCCTGGCATAACTGCACCAGCTGTGCCTAGCATCCCATCTCCCATTGGGGTGAATGGTTTCACTGGCCTCCCGCCGCAGGCTAACGGGCAGCCCGCCGCAGAAGCCGTGTTTGCAAATGGCATACACCCTTACCCAGGTAAGCCAGACCATTGCCATGCCCACAGCCTGCTTCATCAGTGTTAGGGAAAGGTCTGTAGCATCAGCTACTTCAGAAGGATTATTCTCTGTACCAGGCAGCGTGCGCTAGTTTCCAAAACAATTGCTGCATTCAAACCCTCTAGCCTTACCAGGGCTGATGCCAGTTCAGCTGACACATAACAGGCTCAGCTTCAACCTATCATGTCACGCCATTAGAGACAGCTGATAGGGTTCATGGACTGCGACCATCTCAAAAGATGCCAGTCCTGATGGGGTGATTTTGACGTCAGAAATGAATGAGGGAGGTTAAAGAATATGTATCTACCTCTGTGCCTGTATTTAACAGATATATGGACAATGTGAGGCTGTAATCAGCAAGAACTTAGGGGTTTACAAGTTCTTAATGTGGACTTATATTTTTCTAGCTTTCTCAGGATTTGATAAAGACTTCTGCTTGAAGCTGGAGCTGGAAAGACATTTCTTACCATTGACTGTATACACACTAATAATACCAATCACAACAATATAATTTAAATAAATTTTACTAATTGATCCTAGCTACCATCTGGCAAAGGCATATTTTACCCTGGGACACTCAGATTAATCCAATCTGTCAAGAAATCAGACAGTTACTCCAACCAAAAAGCCCACAAACACCCTAACAAAAAAATTCTTTCCATCTCAACCAGTCCTGAAAACTTATAAGAGTCGACATCACTGGGGACTTTATGAGATGCAAGGAAAAAAATCTCATAACAAAGAAGTACAAAAGTCTTGCTTTGAGTTGCTACTCAAAGTCACTGAAAGAAAACCTGTGGATACATCAAAGAAATACCCAGAAATATCAACAATATTGAAAAAATAGCTATAATTTCCCCATACACACATATCTGATAAACATTTAGCCCATGAGTTGAACTTTAAGCAGAATTGAAATCAAGGAACTTACTGTGTTAAAATTTAGGAATGTATATATGTTTGTGGCAGTGTAGAGGAATAAGCAGTCTTGGCAGCTAAAGGAGGCATCAGAAGATTGGATGAAGCTTTAGTGTGCTCAGTGAGCTCAGCCATAACAGCAGGAAAGTTGGTTCCTCTACCCATTTAAGTATTTACCTATTTGCCAGCCTATCAGTGCTCTTTTTATTCATTCATTTCTATGTTATTTTTTTTCACTGCTTTGTCTAACTCCTGTTGGCTAATTGTCCACTATCCATTACTGCAAATATCAGAGAAAATATGAAATTTTTAGATGAATTGTAATGACTTTAGCTTTTATTACTATCTCTAAATACCCCCGTAATTAAAGAAAACTTTAAGTTAGGCATTTCATGCAATATTATATAAAAGTCAATGGCCTTAATCCAATTCTCTCTGATTTTGGAGAGGCTTTCTCAGCCAGCAGTTCATAGTAAGTCCATGCACAAACATCAGAAGCATAACAGACTGAAAGGTGAAAGTCATCTTTGCTTCTCTTCTCTTCAGACAGAGGGTCTCCCCTCTGCCAAAAGATCTGACATGCAAATATTTTATTTTGTACAACATTTGGATTTATCTCAGCATGTCTTCCGCAATATATTGGTCTTTCCTGGTGCTCAACTTTCCCTCAACTCAATGACATCCTAAGTGATAGCAGAGATATAAAGTGGTCAGCCAAGCTTTCACCTCTTGTTTTACTTCTGCCTGTGCCCACTAGCAATAAATCTCTTACAGCAAGTTCCTTTAGTTCCTTTGTAGCAGGTTGGGTGTAGGACAAGGCATGTGTTTGCTCCATCTTATTCTCTTCTCCTCCTAATGAGCATTTATGCACTCACCAAAACTTTACTCCTTGCCGCAGGCTTTATTGAGGCCTGGAGCTTAGCAACATTAAAAAAAAAAAAAAAAAAAAAAAAAAAAAAGGATTAGACATTTATATGGATAATGAGAACATCCACGGTCACATCAGACTGGATAAAAATGTAGAAAGGACACAAACCTTCATGCTTTATTATAAAATCCAGCCACTAATTGCTTGGGGTTAGAAAGAAATTTTCATCACTGGGCAGCTTATTCCATCATTGTTCATTATAGGATTTTTTGTACATTACTCTGTAGTATCTGTTATTGGCACTGCCCTGTGGTTCTGCATTTCTAAATGCAAGGATAGAAATAAAATAGTAAAGCTGAGCATTCAATTGCACTAACACTGTAGAGAAGAAAAGAACATGCCAGTGCCATCCAAAGTCAGCATCTTCCAAACAATTTTCTTTTATGATATATCTCTCATTCTAAAAGTGGCCAAGAGTGCTGCAGTATTATGTATGTTACCATAGTAAGCTATGGTTATGACTTGCCATATATTGTTTAATGCCTGAATTTTGCTCTTAGATACTTTTTCATACCCAACAAAAAAAACCTGAAATGTGGGTTCAGACCATTATATCCTGTAGCAGAATGTGCTTTGTTGCCTGAAAATAGCAAAGCAGGACAATCAAAATCTGTAGAGGGATGACATCCACATCATTCAGACCCAAATAAATCTCATTAATTGTGCAGTTTGTCTACACATTCACCTTTGTGTCTAGCTATAATATTTTTGATGTTACATCTAAGCAACTCAAGAACTCCACAATCTTTGCACTATAAAAGCAGGTGCAAATTATGTAATTGTATTTACCCTGTAGTTTCACTCTTTCTTTTTCTCTCTTACCCTATCCTCTTTTTTTAATATTGCCTTTGTCTGGAGCAGGGACACACACAAAGTACCATTTGGGTCAGACTACTGAAACCCCTATGGCTTTGGGGCAAAGGCAAACAACCCTACTCACCAGGCCCCTAATCACAGCCCCATATCCTGCAGGAATTCTCTTTTTCTGTGACTTCCACTTGATTTACAGATCCACGCATTAACCCCAGAAAATAATTTCTTGCAGACAGCTCTTTGCAAGCCACGCTCTCGCCCCCTCCAAGTACAACCAGTACATAATGCCTCTCACTGCACTTCTGTGCATGGATAGAATCAACAGGGAGAAAATATTTCTTCTCCTAGTAGTATGAGTCCCTCTGGATATTTGGCCCTGTTGTGCTAATGCCTGCCCCTTAGTCTTCAGCTTGCAAAGCTATTGAATGTAGCAGTGTGTCACAACATACATTGGGGACAGTGAGCATAATCTGTTGTGCCATGGTATGGTGAGTCACTTTGTAGTAGTGCAAGGGCATTTGCCACTTCACCATTAGTCATAGTAATAGGGATTGCTCTCTTCTGCCTACACTCTTTGGTTATCAAGGGCCCAGTGCCTCTCTTGTAACAGTGGAGATCATCTGCACTTGTTTCTGGATTGCATTATGAGGGTGTAGACAAAATACTCCCTGCAAAAATAAGACCTCCTTGGGAAGAGGAAGGGAGAAAAGTGAGAGATCAAAGGGCAGTGAATGGAAAAGACAGAAGCAGCTGTCACAGGATCAGCGACACAAAAGGACAGAACTAGAAGAGGGCACTGAGCAGAGCACTTAGAAAAGAGCAAGAGATGCCCAGAAAGGAAGCACAAAGACATCCCATAGTACCCAGTGGGATGTCCAGTTTGACTAGAGCCAGGGGCAAACCCAGGGGTAGGGCAGCACTGGGGTTCCTCAGATGGAGAATGTTTTCCAGGACACTGGTTTCTTCAGTGCATTTAGTCTGGGCTGTAGTTACTGAGAACTACAAAAGATTTCCCTTAGTTCTTCATAATTCTCTAATAAACGTGTTGCCTTGTTCACTGTTCTCAGGCTCACAGTGCTACTGTTCCTGACTGCCTGCTGCTGCCAGGAACAGCTTTATATATCCTCACTGCAGACACTGCAGAAGTCCCTCTATTCACCTTTGCATACTCAGTGTGCATATGTCTGGTTTAGTGAGACAGCAAGCTTCACTTGATACCCTGCATAGGGTCCAGTCCCCTCTTGTCTCAATAGACCCCTCCCAGTGATATTAGCCAGGATCAGGGACTGTTTGTGCAAACAGAAAAAGGAACCAGCTTCCACCACCCCACTGCTTGCATTTCAAAGTTATCAGAGGATGTGACCCACGAGAATAAGAAAAGAGCAAGAAAAGAATAACAAAATCAACTGTAGGAAGGTTCAATCCCCATAACATTCAGTCCACTCATACACCATGTCCTAGAATATACCTGCCTCAGCAGCCCCTAGGCTTAGTTACTTGCTGTGGGAAATGTTTGGCTGTGTTGTATTTGTCCGCCATAAATCCCGAGATGAGCTTTCACTTCCATATTTTGTATCAGCAGTTTCAAAAGTGCAATAGTGAGCTCCTGAAACATCATTATGACTGGAAAGCATTTATTTGACCCATTTGTAACAATCTGCCACGTGCCATAAACCACACTTTACTGGTAAAATAAATAAGTGAAGGAATGCACTCATTAAAAATATAATAACAAGTTGCCATCCTCAATTGTAGTCTAAGCTACTTTAATGATGCTGTGTACTTCGAACAATCACACTGCAGACATAATGAATGAGGTTGTTTAAGGCAGTTGTGGGAGCCTTTTCAGAGCCAAAGCTTTTTCTCCTCTGATCTAGAAGAAGGTGTAAATACAAAGCTGGAACTTTGCTAGTTTTCAGAGGAGAAGCACCTAAGTAAGTTAACATCTTGAGGGGTTTTTTTTTTCGGAGGTCACTTAAAGTGAGCTCCCAAAAACATGAAGTTAAGTGCTCTGTTATGTTTAAAACCTGACCCCAATTTATATGTTTATGAGCACAGACAATGGTAGAGAAGTCTGGTCCTGGCTTTGTTGCTGAATTAGTGAATCACCTTGGCCAGCCATCTCCACCTTGTGACATTTCCAATTCTTTGGAATTTTTTTTACTTTGTATCAAGCTCTTCATGGCCAGACATGACTCTTACTGACCTGTCTCAGCAGAAGACCAATTTCAGATGGGATTGGAGGCAGGCCTACAAGGAAAATTCTGAAGATAATTCTGATTTCCAGTGATAAGCTGCATGACTTTCATAGTAAGCTCATT